GCTGTTCTTTTGAACTTTCTATTTATCAAAGAATCCTGAAAATAATGTATCACAGTTTCCACAAAAATATTAAACGGCACTTTTTTTCCCCACATTGATAATAATGAAAGTTTTCTGAGCAAGAAATCAGCATATTAGCATGATTTCTAATGAAGGATTATGTGACACTAAATACTGGAGAAATGGCTGCTGAAAACTGAGCATTGCTATCACAGGAATAAATTACATTTTAAAAATAATAAAATACAAAGCTGTTATTTTAAATTATAATAATATTTCACAGTATTACTGTATTTTTACTCTGTTTGATCAAATATATGCAGCCTTGATGAGCATAAGAAGATTTTCAGAAAAAAACTTAACTACTCCAAACTTTTGTTTTGTGTAAAGTTTGTGTAATGAGTAAATATAATTTTCCATGATATTTATTGGATAAACTTGCCTTTATCTTACTTTTATTTACACTAAACCTCTGAATCTGTTTGATTCCACTGGCTACTAAGCTGTACTATATCTTACAAAAACAGAGCATCTTCTGACAGCCTCATTTTGGAGAGTTTACAAATACAGTGTGCAGTTTACAATACCTTTGTTATTTTTGTTTAATTCAAGGTTGGGCTCGTTTCTGGCAGAGCCTCCTCCGCCACCGCAGAGAGTTGAAAGACAAATGAAAGCACCCAGCAAAGAGGCCAAACGAATGATGCCCACCCAGGTGTGCTCATCATAATGCAAATGCTGACAGTCTCCGGAAATATTCTTGATAATCTGTCTGATTTTAAGAAATTAAGAAAATATCTTGTCATCACAGCTGAAGAAAATGGAAGAATCTCATCAGGAGGTGACAGAGAAAGAGGTTGAAAGAATTCTTGGATGTCTGCAAAAATACTTTGCTGATGACCGTAAGCATGTTACAATAAAATGAAAATAAAATGTTAGAGTTAAGCAAAACAGTCTATTAAAAACGACCTTTTCCGGAACAGCTGAGGAACCCATTTCATATTTTGAGTTCGTCATTGACCCCAACTCCTTCTCCCGGACTGTGGAGAAC